TTTATTTTTCTAAGAATATTCCACCCTCAGTACTGGAATGAGGTGTAAAGTATTCCCTCATCAGTCTGCTCTCACCTAGCATCTTCAATCTGTTTTCATGTCTCTGAAACAGCAATATACCTGTCCAAGTATCACAGTTTAAACAGGAAATGTTTCATCCAATGGGCTTTTTCCATTTCTTTAAAATTTATTTGCAAATCTATTAATTGATCCACTTACAGAACCCTAAAAAAACTACATTACATGTTTGAAATTAGGCAGAACCACATTACTCTTCTGCCATATTCTGTTTGGAAACACCAGTGTTAGTTTCTTCCAGTCTTTTTCAGGAGCATTTGCTGCACAGACACCCAAAGCTCTCATGCCTTAAGCAGGGTATGAAAGTCCATGAACCAAGAGTTAATGCATCTTCTTCACACTGTTAGTCCAGTGAGTTCATCTGGCAGAAGCACAGCTGACATGTGGCAGCAACTTTGAGAAGCAAGTGGAAAAACCTGTTTGCACTCACTCTGTTAAGCTATAACCTTGGCAGTGGTGAGGGTTGGTCTCTGCTCTTGGCCACCAGTGCCCCACACTGGGTTTGCCCCTAGAAGACACCAGCAGGAAATGACATGCCAAGGGAAATGGCTACAAGCCAATAGTTTTCCCCATACAAGTGAGTGTTCCAAACACAAAAACACCTGCACCTTTCCCTTCCCAAATGAAAACTGATCCTTTTAGAAGTTAATTTGCAAGCTATTAACTATTATAAGCCAGCTATTATTGCTATATAATTATATATCTATAAAGTTTCATTATCCTTCAAGTATTTTCCTTTTCTCTTCTGTCAATGCTGTTCACTTAACTGTATGATTCAGATGTTGCTTTTTTTTTTTTCCTGGCCAATAACCAACAGGTTTCACATTGGTCATGCTGTCCTAATCTTTTTTTAGAGCACATCCCACTCAGTTCTCTGCACCAGGAGACCTTCCTTATTTTTTCAGGAACCATTTTAATCTTGCATGGAAATAGTTCTTTATTAAACAGTATTACTCAAGTACATAAAGGAAGCAGAATCTTTTCTTCCCATCCTGTTTACTTGACTTAAATTCTTTTGAGTTTTATTTGTTACCTTTTCACTGCACTGGAGCTGCTTAATTCTCTTTACAACTACAAGCTGCCTGATGGAACAGCTGCTTTTTTCAGCTTCCCAGAAAACACAGGATGCCTTGACTGTGCCTAGTACAACATTTGCTGAAAGAACCTCCTTTTTGAAAATGCTGTTCTATTAAATGAGTCATCCAATAGTAACACAAACTATGAATGCTCGAGTGGGAAAGAGCAATTTTATGTTCAAACCACACACAGTATAGGACAATATCATGAAACAACACAACTATGTCCAGAAAGAAAGATGGCATAGAAGCAAATTGTATAGCTGAAGCTACACACGTGCTTAGCTCTGTCCTAAGTGAAGTCTGAAGACTTTTCTTCTTGTTGCACAGCTAATGGTTCATAATTTAAAAATCTGAGTGCACAGACAAATACATATACATATTTACAATATTACCTGCCTCCAAGGAATTTCCCTGTCCTTGCTTCAAAAAAGTAAACACCTCTGTCTACAAAGCTACTTTACTAACTGAAGAATGTTGAAATATTAGCCTTGTTTTTCAAAGCTACTTGCTTGGTTTTATTAATTCTTTCCAACAAGGTTGCCTCACAAAAAGATTTATGAAGCCAATAGTCAAGCAAAAACTTGTACTGAATTCAATGTGTACTTTAGAAAAATCTTATCAGCTTCAAAAGGAAATTAAAAAAAAATTACTGCTACAACAATAGCTTCCTGCACTCTAATTTCAGTTCCCACACAGAACAGAATACAACAGTACACTTGGAGCCTCATAAATTCATTTTTCATAAATGTAAATGGCAATATTGTCGGTGCTGACGTAGAAAGCAACGTCAAATGTGCTATTACATGCAAACAATGAATGAGCTTTAACTCTAACTCAAATCTAAAAGTATTTCAATTATTCCAACAATATGCATTTTGCTCTAGTCAACCACAAGTGATGATACGAAAGTAAGCCTTGAATGCCCCAGGAGTCCAAAGTATCTTTTCCCCCCTTTGAAAAAAAATTACAAAATAGTTATCCAGAATAAATCTACATCTAATGATGTGGAGCCAGATTTAAAAATATATAGGCACTTAAAGACAGCTGCCTAAGGAGATTTATGCTCACAATTTGCTAATTCCCATTGATTTCTACTTGCTTAGAAACAAAAACACCAACATCAACATCCCATTGTACTTTTATAAAGACTAGCAGGAGAAATGCAGTCATGAAAAGGGTCTACACTTCTCTTGAATACCTATGATGAAGAATAATATTTACAACTGAATATGATTAAAATGGTTCTAATGAAATGCAGTTTCTTTTGCTCTTCCAACTTCAAATCACACACATATAGAAGAGCAAAAACTATTGAGAGGAAGATGACTTTTGACTGAATTCACTTGGTTTGGCATTAGCACCTGGTCATGCCTTTATCTACATAAAAGCACACTCTCGTGTCTGGTGTCTGCTACGTATTGTCAGCAATTTCAGAGGGATCTGTTCTGCTTACTGAGCAATCAATACTGGCAGCACACAGCCTCACCAGATCAAATACCTCCACACAGGAGCTCAAGTCATAGGAAGCCCTGATAACAGCTTCAAACTCACCAATAAATTATTTTATCTTTCTTATCTAAAGTGCAATTGTTTAGTCAGCACAGCTCTGAAACTCCTGCATCAATATTTCCACAGCTCTGACAGTTAAGTCAATATATTCTACATTTTTATTACCTGAGAGAATTACTGCTCTCCAGTTTCATGGCTGCAATTTCAGTTGAGTATGTATAATGGGGGTACGACAGTTTTTGACAGAAAATCTTCAATTTGGCTTATATGAACAGAAAGTTTACATCAACAGCACTACCAGAACTGCAGAGGCAAGGTATGAAAACTTTGCCTTAGTATTATTAAAAAATAATTACTGTTGTTGTTGTTGCTTGGTTTTATTTGCCCAGTGGGGTTTTCTGAATATAATTTCAGACACCAAATAATGGAATCTCAGGCAGTATGATAACAAACTTAATATCAGATGCCTTTGCAACCAATTGTTAATGTAAGTTTTAAGCAGACCCAACAGGCAATATAAATTTATAATTTTATTTCCCCCTTTTCTTTGTCTTGAATGAAATTCACTCTGCTCTACATTAACACAATTTGTTTAAACCTATGTTATTTTTTTAAAATAGAATTGTCTTTGTTATTCTGAAATAAAATGCTGCCACCATCCTGGAGATTACAGAAGCACGTAAAGGGAAAATAGCTGATGACAGTTTGGAGGCACTGTATGTAACCAGGTTAGTAATCTGTGGCCCATGGTGGAAGTAGCACTGTGACTGTGCAAGACCATTGTGTAGTAAATGACAGTGAGAAACATAACAGGATCTTAAGTGCTCACAGAAACGTGGGCTTCTCCCACAAACTTTCTGTGAGTTTTAAGCAGAGGTCCATAAAGGTTACAACAAAACCTGGTTTCAAAGTCTTTGAGTGGCTCCTATCCAGTCTCTACAGGAGGAATCTTCCCTGTGCTGCTTTGTTTGGTTGACAGAATCAGTCACTTCAGAATTCGGAGTAGAGGTGCACCAATATTGAGTCAGCTACAGGAGTTTCCTTGACACTGAGAGGAAACAAAATGTCAAAAAACCACAAACCTCCACACTGAACTTGATACCATGAGTGCACAGGCATTTCACTGTTGAAACTGTGATGGTTTCATGTTGTAACTATTGGATGTTATCTTTCCATAGCAAATACTTGTAAGTCAAACAACAAAGGCTTTTTTCTCCTACGGGCTTACTAAATAATGTTGCCAAATGCAATCTCTTTTGAAAGCCTTAGCCGTGTTCATTTCAGCAAAAAACATTACCTCCCTGCAGCCATACCTCAACCTTTTCCACTTTTGGAATTGTATCTGAGTACAGCAGCCAGCCTGGCACAGGAGTACCTTGCAGAGCTCCTCCAGGGGTACCAGATAACAGCATAGTAAGATGTGGTCAGCTCTGGGACCCCAGCACAGGAAGGACAGGGATCTGCTGGAGTCAGTCCAGAGGAGGCCACCAAGTTGGTCCGAGGATGGAGCACCTCTCCTCCAAGGAAAGGCTTGGAGAGAGTGGGGATTGTTCATCTTGGAAAAGAGAAGGCTTCAGGGTGACCTAATGGCAGCTTTTCACTACCTAAAAGCAGCCTTCAGGAAAGATGAAGAGCAACTATTTAAAAGAGCATGTAGTAACAGCAGAAGGGGGAATAGCTTCAAACTGAAAGAGAGTAGGTTTAGTTTAGATATTAGGAAAAACTTCTTTCCTGGGAGGGTGGTGAGGCAGTGGCACAGGTTGCTGTGGCTGCCCCAGCCCTGGCAGCGTCCAAGGCCAGGTTGGATGCGGCTCTGAGCAGCCTGGGATAGTGGAAGTTGTCCCTGCCCATGGCACAAAATGATCTTCAAGCTCCTTCCAACCCAAACCGTTCTTCGACTCTAGACAGCAATGCCCGAGAGCTGTGCCCTTTCTAGTGAAACCCGTCGAGTCTCCTGCCCAAGTTTTCCCTGCGGTTGTGCAATTACGAGCCACTCCACATTTCTGCCGCTGCTGCAGCTGCCGCCGCTGCCAACTCCGCTTTCATTCCTGCCGGCGCCCCGCAGCCCGCCGCCGCCTCCCGCCCCACAGCCTGCGGGGGGACACGGGCACACACACCCGCACCTGGAGCCCCCTTCCCGGCGGGAAAACTTCAGCTGCGCCGCGCTCCCGCTCCCGCCCGGCAGCCCCGAGCCCCGCGATCCCCCCGCGCCCCGGCCTGGCCGGCGGGAGCGCGCCGCGACCCCCGCGTCCCGCCGCGACCCTGACAGCAGCCGCCCCGCCGCCAGGCCTCCGCCCGCGCCGCCGCCGGGGGCACAGGGACGGGCGGCGCTACCTTGGGGTCCCGCTGCGGCAGGAGAGGAGCCGCGGCTGCTCGAGGGCGAGGTGCGCGCCGATGGCGGGCGCTCCGGCGGGCGCGCTGCGGCTGCGGCTCTGGCCGGGCTCGGTGCGACAGCCAAGCGGCGGCCCCGCGCCCGTTGCCATGGGCACAGCGCCCGCCCCCCACAGCGCGCCCATTGGCCGGCGCCGACCCGCGGCGGCCGTCGCGGAGCGCCCCGATTGGGCGACGTGGGCCCCGCCCCCGCCGTGACGCGCGCGCAGCGGAGCGGGAACGTGGCGGCCGCGAAGGGCGGGGCCCGCGCGCGCCGGCTGGCGTCACCGGCGGGGCGGGGGGCGGGACCCGGCGTGAGGGCGGGACCGGCGTGAGGGCGGGACCCAGCGTGAGGGCGGCAGCGGGGGCTGCTCCGGCTTCCGTGCCCCTGGGCTTCGGTGGCAGCTCGCTCCCTGTCCTCAGCAGCGTCCTCTGCAAAGCTCTTGCAGCGCCAGGCACTGCCCCGTGTCCGTCGTGAGCTGTCGTGTGGGAATTTGAAAATGTGTTCCCACGCATCTTTCCCCACGACTGCTCCTTCTTGTTCTTAATTCTTTTCGCTCATTTGAGCTTTAGCTGTGTTCAGACCTGGTTTTTGCTTCCCCTTAAAAGACAAAAGTCTTGCTCGCCATGCAGGTTTAACAGTTTAGGAAATCATCATATTCGACCTTTGTTAATGCTTGGTGTAAGCTTGGGGTTTGATTTGTGGAGTTCCATTCCCACCTGGTTTCAAGGTGTGGTACCTGGCGGGTTTTTGGCTATTATTTTCTGTGTGCACTAAAAGGGCTCAGAAAATACTCACAATTTATTTTTATTGGATAGGTGAGTACCAGCTGTTACAGCAAATGCACTGCACTTCCTATAAAATAGTGATTTCTGGAAAAAGCATAAATTCTACTTGTACCTTCTTATGCTATCTCAAGACTCTAAGCCTGTACTCCTATTTAAAGAGATGTACTATCATGTACAAATCATTGCAAAACTTTTGTCACTGTGCATTTTATTTCTGTTATTCTAATTTACAAGATAAATATGTATAAGGTAAGGTTTGGCTTTTTTTTTTTTTTTTAACAAACTATTGGAATTTTTTATACAAATTAGAGGTAAATTATTGAGGGATTTGCTCAGCCAAGGGAAGAAACTCAAAACTGCCACGGGGTTGAGGGTTAATTGTAATGAGGGCAACGTGGTGGTTGAAGCTACAGCTTCTGCAGGTGAGAATAAAATGGGGATGTGAGCTGACTGTGGTGACATCTGTGGTCACAAAGCTGTTGAAGCAATAGGGCTGGCACTACCTGGAGCTTTCCCTTTCTCTCACAGATGTACTGCTCCAGACTAGAAACCTGTTTTCCTGCACTGCAGTTCACTGTAGAAACAGAGTTTTGTGGTGACTCAGCGTTCTTTTCTGATTTGTGCCCAGGTGTGGGAGCAGGAGGAGGCTGGTGGGGGCTGAGGCCCCTCTCCTGGGGCTTGTTGTCACACTGTTTGCATGGAAGGCTGTCCCTTGGGCACAGGGCCTGTCCTCCACCTCCCTCAGGAGCCTCCTCATCCTGTGGGGTCCCCTCAACAACGCACCAAGTGTGCCCTCACTCTCTGCTCGTATGAAGAACAAAGCTTCCCGCTGCTTCTGTGGCCTCCTGCTTTGCAGGAGGAACCAGTGCCTGTACTGGAGCCTTCCCACAAGTTTCCAGGGAGAGCCTGCCCTTCTCAGACGCTGCCAGAAGGTGGCTTGGAGGCACAGAAGGACGAGGTGACATCATCTGCGAGGACAAGCTGTGGTGGGACCGGCATGAGCCGTGCCTGGAGGAGGGGAGTGTCCTCGTGTGACAAGGGAAGCGCAGTGAGAGCCGTTTGCTGTGACTTTAGCGAGGCCTGTGACACTGCCCCCCACGGTATCCTGGTGGGTTTGGCATGGACAGGAGAATGAGACTCCTGTGCAATGGGCCTTGCGCTCAGCAGCACAAATCCTGCATTAGTATTCTGTCCTGTACTGGGTATTGATCTCTCACTGCTCATCCTAATTAATCCATATTTTTAGTATCTTTTTCCTCCATTAGGGACTTTCCAACACACATATGCTGAGTCTTTGTTAGATTTTCTTTATGCTCTGATTTCTGCAAAAAAATCTGTTTTGCAGAAATCAGAGCATAGTAGTCTATACATTTTGTTCTATAAATTCTGTTCTTCTGGTCACAGCACTGAGCCTGGCAGAGTTCAAGAAGCATTTGGACAATGCTCTGAGGCACATGGTGTGACTCCTGGGTTTGGTGCTGTGCAGGGCCAGCAGTTGGACTCCATGATCCTTGTGGGTCCCTTCCAACTCAGCTCATTTTGTGGTTCTGTGATTGTATCCAATTTAAGCAATCCTTCACTCTCTCCCAGGCCTTGTTCAATGAAGCATATCAGGGTCATGTGCTGGCTAAAAGTGATTTAATACTAGCATGCTGCTCATAGTTAATATACTGATTATGGCTGATTAAAACAATTAATTAAAAATTGATTAGCAAATTTATGTCATTTTCAGCAAGCACACATGGCCACTGCAGTGCAGGTGTGCAAAGGGTTGGTGTGGTGCACATTGTTCATGTCCAGGCAGAGGAGGGGTGTGGTGAGGATCAGGGCAGCTGTGAGTTGGTTTCCCTGGAGCTGCAGCTGTTTCCCAGCTAGCTGTCTCCTCTGAAATGGCTGGGATTGCTCAGCATGGAGAAGAGAAGGCTCCACAAAGATCTTAGAGCACCTTCCAGTACCTAAAGGGCCTACAGGAAAGGTGGAGAGGGACTTTTTACAAGTGCAAGTAAGTAGTCATAGGACTAGGGATATTGGTTTTTAGCTGGAGGAGGATCAATTTGGATTTGAAAGAATGTGTAAGGTTGTTTTGGTTTTTTTTATTCTATGATTTTGTAGCTTTAGAAACAAATAGACAACAGCTGGAAGATGATAATTTCTGTCTTCCTCTCACAGGCTCCATGCTGTTGTCAAGCCTGCTGCTTGGACTGGCGAAGATTTCCATCATAGCTTTGACTGTTTCAGGGTTGTTCTGTCCCTCTCTCAATCACAAGCTGCTAAGTACCATAGCCTAGTTATTTGTGCTACCTATTTTTCTCTCTCCAAATACTTACATGGTTTTTTCATGTCAGGCTGGAAACTCCTTTAACTGAAGGGTGGAAAACCTCTGGGTAGGTGCATCCCCAGCTTTCTGGGGCTGTGTTAATGACTCCTCTGACAATGGGAATTCTTAAATTTATGCTGAGGCACATGGAAAATAAGGAGGTGATTGGTGATGGCCAAACCTGACTTCACCAGAGCAAATCATGCCTGAAAAATTTGCTTTAGAAACACAGAAGGACATGTGTTCAGAGAAACAGGCATGATGTTCCCTCCAAAATAAGAGGGAAGTGAGAGTTAGAGTTAGAACTGAGGTAGGACCCTCAATATATTTGGAAATAAAGAGTAAAGTTGAGGGAGAACTGTTCTGAAGGTGTAGAAAATTATTAATGCTGTCACAGGACACAAGGATAATTTCAGACTCGAAGCCACATGGAAAAGTCACAAAAAGAAGGCAGAAGAGGAGTGATACCTTGTGTGAGAAGAAGGTAAGACATCCAAGTTGTTCTCATCAATTTTGGTACTTTTAACTGAAGAGAGGGTGCATTGAAAATGAGATAACAAACAGCAAGAAAAACAAGAAGTAAGAGATCCACTTCCTGCTGTGGTTGCACAGGAAATGTATCACAACAATTTTTTGGCTTCTCATTTCCAGTCATGGAAACATTTTTAGAAGCTGAACAAAAAGGCTTGTGGTAACAGACACCCAGTGTGTGTGTATCACACAAATCTCACATGCAACAAGAAGTAATATAAGGGTCTTATTAAAGGAGAATGTAGCACTTGATTCCTGATGCAGTTTTTATTGGATTTCTCATGCAAGTCAATATTTTATTACTCTTTTTTTTCAACTTATCTACAGTTTCTAAGTGCCCCTCTCATCACAAAGCAAATAAGTAGCATCTGAATATTTGGCAGAGGCTAAGCATCCACCAGATATTTACCAGATTGTGGTAGTAATTTTTAAAAATGTCTGTCTTTTATAATTATACCAGCTTCTTTCTAGTCATGTCTATATGCATGTGATTATCACCCAGTTATTGATGGGCAAAAAGGGGCAGTCAGCATGAGTGGCTTATTCTTGTGACGTTTAGGGGTTTGGGTGAGTTTATTTACTATTATTTTTTTATAAACCTTGGACTAATGGCAGGGGAGTCAGCAGTGGTATTTCCTAGGAATTTATACCTGGCCTCTGTGCTTCAGTGTTATAATAAAATTCCCAAAGGGGGCACTGTGGTGGTGTTCACAGGGGTCCCAGGAAAAGGGAAGAGATGAGGATCTGACCCATGTTTCAGAAGGCTAATTTATTATTTTATGATAATATATTATATTAAAACTATACTAAAAGAATAGAAGAAAGGATTTCATCAGAAGGCTTGCAAGCAAAGGAAAGGAGAATGGAAGGTTAACAAAAGCTTGTTGCTCTCAGAGTCTGAGCCAGCTGACTGTGATTGGCCATTAATTAGAAACAACCAACATGGACCAATCACAGATCCACCTGTTGCATTCCACAGCAGCAGATAATCATTGCTTACATTTTGTTCCTGAGGCCTCAGCTTCTCAGGAGAAAAAATCCTAAGGAAAGGATTTTCCATAAAATGTGTCTGTGACAGGGTACAAAATGATGTGTGAAAGTTTGCTGATGACTTAGAATTAAGGAATTACTTAGAGGAGCAAAACAGAAAGAAAACATTTTGCTCCATCTCTGCAGAGTATCTCATGATATTCAGTAGCTGGGTGGTGAAGCAGTAAATGATATGTGAGTAATGTAAACTGACTTGCCTTGAAGAAAAGGCAGCCTTGGCTTTTTTAATCTATTCCTCTTTTTGCTCAGATTGTGGATGTGGAGTAAGAAGGTTCTGTGGTATCATTAGTGCAATGCTTAGTGGAGATCAAAATAGCAAATGCTAGGAATAATGGAATTGCT